CGTGAGGCGTGGACCTGGTCAAGGTCATGAATTCCCAGGTGGTCTGGGCCGACAGACCCCGCTACGTTCGGGCCGATGGGTAGGATCCGTGGACGAGGTTACGAGAGAAAGTTCGACGAAAAGCTGCGACGGGACTCGTCGACAGCGTCAGCATATATGACGCTTCTACTGTGCAACGTCGAGTCATGCCTCATCTTGTAACTGGTCATTGCAGTTGTGAGGTGAGCTTTTATGTATGGCATGGCGTTCACGCGCGAGCACTGCGTCAGGATGATCTCCACGAACTTCGGGAAGTGCAGCATCCCAGGCGTTGAGGCAGGCGATCTTTTGAAGCTGGACAAGAGTACCTACGCGGCCGTTGACGCGGCCAGGGCATTGTGCGTGGCTCTACGCGCGGGGCTCGTGAAGCATGGCTGGAATGGCCTGAGCTTTGAACTGGCGACCTTCATCAGCGCTGCAAGCGCGGCGCGATCATCGGGATCGCGTGCTTGCGCGTGGGCGACGTCTTCATGGGCGTTAAGCAGGCGGACCCAAATGGTGCCAACATCAAGGACTTTTTTGTTTATAATATATATATATTCATATATATACAACAAACATAATAATATATTAATATTTATGTTATATATATATATATGTACATTCATATATTTACAAAAATAAAAACCAATAAAAATATGAAATGAAACATTTAGAAACATATGCACGAGGATGGCAGAGGCAACGACAGGTGCAGCGGCCCTCGCAAATAATTTGCCTCGGGGAGGCATTCGGGGCATCTCGGCTGGCATCTAGGCGTGGAGCTCGCGCGGTGAAGGACCTTCTGGGCGGCTTTGCAGCGTTGCGGAGAATCCAGTAGCGGGCGGATCTACGGATCAAATTCTCAATTGGCTTCAACCCGCGGGTGACAGATGTTCGACGTGACAGATGGTGCTTTCGGCAACCTGCCGAAGCATCGTTCACAACGAGGGCGCCTCATCATGCTGGGCCACGAGAAGATCGACGGGGACCGACAACGCGTGCAAGGTACATTGTGTCGGACGGCAATTTTCAAAACGTGGCGGGTGGTGCGACCTACTATGTGGATGGGCGCCTGTCCGCGTGCAGATTCAGTGGGCCTGCTGGTCTGGGCGAGGTCCACGCCCAGCGGGGATTGAGTGCCCAGGGTTGGGCCCCGCCGAGATCGTGCATGACGCGTGCCTGGTGAAGTGCATATGCGCGACGGGCTGCAAGAGACTATGCAATGCCCTCGCGAAGGAGCAGATTTCGACGGCGGATTGGAGATTCGCAGTGGATTTGGCTATCCTGCGTCAATCACTGAAGGAGGTAAGCATCAAGTGGGTCAAGAGTGATGCTGGCGGACTTCTCTGCTGAAGTACTTCCGGGGGGTTGCGCCTGGATGGTTGTCGCCGCCGACCTGTGGGCCCTAGGGCCTGGTGGAAGGGCGCCGTCGATATGTGGGCGAAAGCTAGTTGGGCCAGGGAAAGGTGCAGCGTGCGAGGAGGCCAGCGAGCTTGCCGCGAAGAACATTGGGAGGTATTCGTGCGGCGACGCCGAGGTGGATGCCGAAGGCGCGTCGACCTGGCCGGTGGAGAAGGCGTGACTACCGCGACGAGAGCTGCGACTGTGATGACAAGGATAAAGGGGAGGTTGAGGACGTCGACGCTTTTTACCTGGACAATGCGACGGGCGACTACCCAGTGGAGGAGAGTGGCGTGCAGCGGATTATTCAAATACCTGGCCAAGTTTCAGTTCTGCTCCAATTCTGTGCATTAGCCGAGTGCGAAGTCTGTCTTCGATGTCCTCCACGGTGGTGACAGTAGTATCTCTCGTCGCGGGTGTCGTCGTGCATATTCGCATAATGAATCCTGAGCAGGACAATGTCGACGTTGACCTCAGTGGGCTCGCGCCCAAGGAGGTGCGTAGTTGAGCAGAGACATCTTCTTCGCGAGTGAGGTTATGGTGCCCGAGCCGGAGACCAGGGTGATCGCCAATATTGTACAGAATCAGCCAGGCGCCGAGGGATCAGTACGACGACGGCAGTAATATCACAGAAGCAGGTTCTATCTACTTGGGAGACAGTGCTGTTACGAAGCAGTGGGTGGAGACAGCGGGCGCTAGGCGCGTCGAGTCAGGCAAGCGCGAGTGCCAGAAGGACAAGGATTGCGCCAATTGGTTTGGGCGATTTCTGAAACCGGGCGCTGACGACGACGTGCGTCGGTGCCGCGCCAAGCGATCAGCGAAGGTGCATGTGCATCGCAGAGGAGGGGAAGATGGCCAGGACCAAACCTCACATATATTCGTGATCTTGATATCAGGAGTGAGTGAGAGAGAGAGAGAGAGAGCCAGGAGATCATCCGCAGATATTTTTGCGAGCTTGTTGTTGACTTGCTGCGCATTCTTTTGGCGACACTTCTTGCCTCTGGTGTGAAAGTTAATGCAGTAATGATGTGCTAGGAAATTGGCTACTGCTCTGCACCCGTCTGCTCGTTCTTATGCA